CAAGTCAGGGTACCACCAGATTGAGGTGGCTCCGAAGGATCAACACAAGACAACAACTTTCCGAACCAGGTATGGTCACTACGAATTCGTGGTTATGCCCTTCGGTCTTACCAATGCACCTGCGACCTTCCAAAGGTCAATGAATGAGTTATTCCGTCATTGACTTGACCAGTTCGTAGTAGTCTATGTCGATGACATTCTAGTGTATAGTAAAAGACTAGAGGATCATGAAAAACACCTACAAATGGTTTTGCAGAAGTTGCGCTAGGGCAACTTCAAAATGTATCCGAAGAAGTCAGAGTTTGCTAAGCCTGAAGTTTTGTACTTAGGGCATATAGTAAACGAGGAAGAACTAAGGCCTGAAGAAAAGAAGATTACAACAATCAGAGATTGGCCACAGCCCAAGACTATAACTGAACTAAGATTTTTCCTAGGACTTGCTAGCTACTATAAGAAGTTCGTTAAAAACTTTTCCTTGATAGTTGCTCCTATGAGAATATTACTGAAAAAGGAAAAGCCTTGGTTGTGGGACAAATATTGCGAGTTGTCGTTCAAAAAGTTAAAACATACTCTAACTCACTACCCTGTCCTAAAGATTGTTGACCCTTCTCTCCCTTTCATCGTTACGACTGACGCAAGTCAGTATGGGATTGGGGTTGTGCTACAACAAGATGACGGTAAAGGATATAGACCTATTTAGTTTGTCCAGAAGACTTCCATCAGAGAAAGTGGTCAACTCCACGTATGAAAGAGAACTATATGCCTTAGCTGCACTAGATACCTGGAAGCACTACTCTGTTGGGGAGACATTTCACTGTCTATTTTGACCACTCTACGTTGAAGTGGATCAAGACTCAGCCTAAGCTCTCCGACAAGTTGGTAAGGTGGTCCACATTCCTTCACTCATTTGACTTTGAGGTGAAAACCATCAAAGGTAAGTCTAACGTGGTTGCAGATGCTTTGTCTAGGCATGTAAATTTCTTTGGAACTATTGTCTCCTATCTTGATATTGGAAATGAACTGAAAGAATAGATCCGCTAGGGTTATGGGAGTGATCCTATTTGGAATCCTATCATTGAAACTCTATGAAAGAACCCTGAGTTGTTCCAGAATATCGAATGACTGATGGCTTACTCTTCTTGTTGGACAAAACCGAAGAACGATTGTGTGTTCCTCACCTAGAATCAATTAAGAGTTTAATCATTGGGGAATGCCATGATGCGGAAGGTCACTTTGGTTTTAAGAAGACGCATGCCGATGTGAATGAACGTTTTGAGTAGAAAGGAATGAAGGAAGATGTACTAACGTATGTGCGGACTTGTCTTGTCTGTCAAAGGAACAAGCCCTCACACGAGAATCTGATGGGACTATTGCGACCACTGCCTACTCCAAGTGAGCCAAGTGAGTCTATCTTTATTGACTTTATGAGCCTCACTAAAAGTCAAACGACAATATTCAGTTAATTGTAATCGTCGATAGATTCTCTAAGTATGCTATGTTCATTCCTTTGCCTGTTGAAGCTAAAACCAAACTCGCTATTTAAAAGTTTCAAATGCAACGAGTCTCTGAGTATGGATTTCCCAAAACCATCGTATCTGACAGAGATGTTCGGTTCACCAGTCTACAATGGCAAAAGTTGATGGAAGTCTATGGAACTAGGTTGACCATGTCATCAGGCAGACATCCTGAAACAAATGGCCAAACTAAGCAAATGAATCGTCTCTGCCAACAACTTTTGTGAATGTGTGTCCGTCCAGATCAGATTGACTCGGATGAGAACTTGCCTAAAATTATCAGTGCAGATAACAACAATATACATATTGTCACAGGTAGAACACCTCACACATTGCATAAAGGATGGAAGCCTAGGCGTCCCATTGATGCATTAACGAGGGACCAGATTCAATGGCTACCCCCATGGACGCGTGAATTCACAGTTTTGTACGAAGAAGACATCAAGAAGGTGAAGGAAAACATACAGAAAGCCCAACTGCAAATGATTGAACAAGCTAATAAACATCGTCGTTATTCACAATTCCAAGAAGGGGACTTTGTCTGGGTTAAGTCTAAAGTGTTTTCCTTAGAAGAAAACGTGTCTCAGAAACTGCAACCTGTCTACTATGGACCCTGGGAAGTTCTCAAAGTAATTGGAGGTGAAGATGGACCTTCTTACTATATAGATATACCTGCACATCTCAGGACATACCCTGTCTTCCATGCGTCTAAGCTACTACCTTATGTAGAAAATAACGATTTCCCAAATAGGCCATCTATGATTCCACCTTCTATGAACGGAGGCTACGAAGTTGAGAATGGAACATGGCTATTTCTCTACGGGTGGGAGAGGACGACCTCAGAAGCAGTACAAGGTAAAGTTCAAGTCCCAACCCCCATCTGAAGCTAGATGGTTTAGTAGGAAAGAACTACTACCCACTGCTCCTGATATTATTGTTGCATATGAACGTGGGTTAACTGAGAATTAATGATTTTTTTGTGATGGAACTCGAAAACCGGGTCGGCAGGAATGCAATAACCCATACCATATGTCTTGTGGAACTGAGGGTCATCAGAGGGCCTACTTGGCCGCCCTCAACCCATGCCGAACAAGGGCAGAAAAGGCCCTTCACGGATTCAGGGCCTGGGCGAGTGTCGTTCCACCCAACAGTCAAAGTCCAAATGTACCTAGCCCAGGCTGCTGGTCAAGCACACACACTTGTTTGTATGCAGGTACCCAGACAACATCAGGTCCCAGGGAGAAGTTTGCAATTGTACAATCCGGGCCTTCAGATGCGAGTCAATCTGGACGACCGAGGGAAGAGTACCCGAGGCCAAACAACCTCGACAATTGTTACTTAAGGCTGGCCTCGAGGGAGTCAAGCATTCAGTCTTGGTATGCTGCTTTGACGCTGGCTCGACTTTGACTCGACGCTGGCTTTATGCTAGCTGTGCACAAGCATTGCGGACGACGGCACGAGATGGAGGCAACATGCTGGCAGTTCTTCAGTGCACCGTGCCATGCTGATGTGGCGCTGCCTCTGGTATATGTGGTGCTGCCTCTGGTCTATGTGGCATGCTGATGTGGCGCTGTCTATGGTCTATGTGGCATGCTGATGTGGCGCTGCCTCTGGTATACGTGGCACTGCCTATGGCCTACGTGGCATGCTGATGTGGTGCTGCCTCTGGTATATGTGGCGCTGCCTATGGTCTACGTGGCATGCTGATGTGGCGCTGACTCTGGTATATGTGGCGCTGCCTATGGTCTACTGGGCATGCTGATGTGGGGCTGCTACTGGTCTACATTGATGATGTGGCTATTGCCACCTGTTTCGATAGTTGATGTGGCATTGTCCACACTGTCTACATGAGGTGACTGGTTGCGAGGGAGGAGGAAGATCGGGATCTGTGGTTGAAGGAGAATGGGTACTCACCTGGGATTGAAGTCGTTACTGGAATCTCCAATGTCTTCATGGTCTTCATGAGATTGAGTGCCACGTGGCACTTACGTGTGTGATCAGGAATATATTTATTATCATTGTTGATGTGAAGAGGGGAGAAGCCCGGAGAAGGAGAGGGTTCAGCAGGGACTATTGTGTGAATCGTCCTCCTCTCCTTTGTCTGTTCCCCCTCCACTCTCTTCTATTGATGATAATGAGATACTGTTTGATACATGTCTTCACGAATTGGAGACTTTGCTGCAGATACTGACTCTACAGGTATTTGACGACTTCTGAGTATCTTTCAGACTGGGTTCATTACATGCATAAAAACAAAGAAAAAAAACAAAAAAGAAGATGAAATGTGTCCTGTATGTGTGTGTGTGTGTGTAAGCGCCCACACATGCGCACATACACACATACCCACACAGGCACACACACACACACACGACCTAATTCTTTGCCCTGCTTTAGAGCATGGGCTGTGTGGATGTTTACGGGTGAGCACGAGTTCTCTTTGGGGGGAATGTATGTTTTGTGGCCCGGTGTGGAAGACTTTCCCAGTTTTTTCGGACCCTTAGGGGGGGGGTCGGTGCGTTCTTGCTGGAGGAGTCTTCTGTCTTAGGTAAGTTGTCTCTTATCTTCTTCCTCGTTTTTGGCAGTGACGCGAGTGTGTAGTTTGAGATGAATGTTGGAAATGCCAATGCTGTTATATTTGTTTGTTTTTCGTAAATGAGTTTTTGGTTTCGTGGGCCGATGCGGAAAGCTCTCCAAGGTTTTTTGGACCTTTGAGGGGTTCGGTTCAGTGCCTTCTTGCTGGAGCAGTCTTCTGTCTTAGGTAAGCTGCCTTCTGCCCTCCATCCCCTTGTGGACTCTGAAATATATATGTAATGTGTATACATATGTATATGTGCAAGTGTGCCGCTTTGGCGGCAGACGGGTGTGTGGGCACTTGGCACTGAAGCACACAAAGGCCAACGTTGCATTTTTTACTATTTTAGTATTTTTGTTATTTTGCCTATGTCTAACCGTTTTGTTTATGGATGGCTTGTGATGATTTGTAAAGGGAATGAGAGAGAGCATCTGGGGTCTTTTAAAACAACACACACACACACACACACACATGGGACTGGGGGTGGGGTGGTGGGGTGGGGGTGGGCGGGGGTGAGGGGGGTGTTGGGGGGGGAGTTGGTTTCCTTTTTTTTTTTTCAGTTTAATTGCGCAGGGGTGCTGGGACACGTACCCGAACCCCTGCAGACTCAATCCGTTGAAAAAAAATGGCGGGAGCCCCCCCAATTTTGATTCTGCGGGAATTTAACGGGGGTAGGAGGGAATTAAACGGCTTTCAACGGCAGCTTAACTCCACCCTCCCCCCGTTAAAAGGACACTCAGGCTGCTGCCGACTGGCTGCAGCCCGCCAACGGGCTGGCTGTGGATTGGTCAGCGGTCAGCATCATTCGTGTGCTGGTATGCTTCTGGTCTCAGTAAAACTTTCAATGGATACCCTACGCACAGGTTGATAGTCTACACCTCTGTTTTCTTGGTCAATTTTCATGAAATGTCCAGGTTGAGGGAGCACCCATTCCATCACCTGTGCTGTTGGGACTCCAACTTCTTGAGGCGCTCTTTGGTCCAAGGGGTAAGCTTCTTGCTGCTGCCCATGAGGCTCCAGTGCATGCAATCAAGCCATTCTTGGGAACCATTTGCAAGGCTTCCCAGATCAGTGAAAGTGAAGGAATACAGGCAGCAGCAGAAAGTGAGAAATCTCCATTGAGCCCATCGATGCTGAGAATAGAGACAGGACCCAAGGACAGACAGTCAAGAGACGTGGAGTGCATGTCAAAGACTTTCAAGCAAAGGCCTTGCAAAGGAGGATATGACGCTCAGGAAGTTGTGGATGTGAGGGAAGGGAAAGATAGGGATTCAGAAAGAGACGTCGGCAGTAATGATGAGCTGAGCGGGAACCTTGAGGCAAACGTGGAGCCAACTCAGAAGGACAGTGTAGACACAGTTGATTTGGGGAGGGGAAATAATGGGAGAGCCAAGTGTGCTGATTCAGGGGCTGGGAATCCCTTGCCAGGCGAGTCTAAAAAGCAATCAAATGGTGCTGATGAATTGGAGCCAGGAGCAAGAGGCATTAGTGCATTGCTACGTGTGACTGTTGAGACAGGGCTTGTGGGACTTCCATCCTTGTTGACAGCAGTTCTCCTACATGCTGCACCTGTGCGCTCCACGTCTGAGCAGGTATGAGTTCGTACTCTGTTTTGACAACCTTCTAGTGACCTAGGCCTTGTTGGTTCTCTGACTTTCAGCTTGTACCGCATGTTTCCATGATGCCGAACACTTTGAAGAACAGCAGAGAATAACGTACTGTGCTACTGTTGCATACTGTAACGTGCAGACCCGAACAAGAACCAACCTCTCAATACAAAGTACGAATGATCTGAACAATCAATATTGCAATGCAGCCCTGAACACACATCATCATCATCGTTATCTGGTGTGAAGGGGGTCTGGCGCTTCACACACGAAGACTGCACCAGCCCCAACCATACACAGACGAAGAAGGAGGGGTTAGACGAAAGAGGAGGGGAAGATGGGGATGTCGTCAACACCAAGTCTCGGTACAGGCCCAAATAGTCCCTCGTCGAAATGTCTGAATCCCAATGTCCAGTCTGGATCCAATGTCGTCAAGTCTCAARTCACAACTCTTTCTCTCTCTGTCGTAGTCTGATAAGTCAGGTGGCGAGAGGGTGAGAAGAGATGGTGGACTTAGAAGAGGAAGAAGAAGAA